AGGTTAATAATTTATCGTGACTAAACAGATCTTATTCCACACGGAGTTTCTACAGGTTAATAATTTATCTGACTAAACAGATCTTATTCCACACGGAGTTTCTATAGGTTAATAACTTATCGTGACTAAACAGATCTTATTCCACACGGAGTTTCTATAGGTTAATAATTTATTGTGACTAAACAGATCTTATTCCAAACGGAGTTTCTATAGGTTAATAATTTATCGTGACTAAACAGATCTTATTCCACACGGAGTTTCTATAGGTTAATAATTTATCGTGACTAAACAGATCTTATTCCACACGGAGTTTCTATAGGTTAATAATTTATCGTGACTAAACAGATCTTATTCCACAGGGAGTTTCTACAGGTTAATAATTTATCTGACTAAACAGTGGGGAAATACTCAACAAAGATTTGAAAAATGCAGAAATACACTAACCTATTACGTTCTTCATTCTGCTGTATATATCACATTTATTATAAGAACAGATATATAACAGAACATCATGCAGAGCATTATTTAAGATGATACCATCAACATTACTCACAAATCCAATGCTGAAAGTTTTTGAATAATTTCATATACTTTCTCGTTCAACTAATAACCAACACCCAAAGATCTGACTGATTCTAGTCATTTTATTTAATGTCTTGGTTAAGTCGTATACGTATCGAGAGAGAATGGTTACACTTACCCCCTGATCGACGGAGCCAGTTCAAATGGTTCAAGCATGAAAATGATAAAACTAGTGTTAGAATTTGATCACATTTTAATTTGACTTACAAAAGTTAACATTTCATACAGTTGTCTGCATGACTTCAATTTCTTTCCTACATCTTATGGAAGCACTAGTTTTAATTAGTAAACTATCTAATAATTAGAACATACTATCAGAAGTCTGAGCAGGACTCGTTGTCACAAGTGTACAAGGAATACAGTTGTTTTTAATTATTAGAATTACACCAGTTGAAAACAGATGTTTCTCCAGGTTTAAACAAGGGGCTCCAAAACAGATGTTTCTCCAGGTTTAAACAAGGGGCTCCAAAACAGATGTTTCTCCAGGTTTAAACAAGGGGCTCCTAAACAGATGTTTCTCCAGGTTTAAACAAGGGGCTCCTAAACAGATGTTTCTCCGGGTTTAAACAAGGGGCTCCTAAACAGATGTTTCTCCAGGTTTAAGCAAGGGGCTCCAAAACAGATATTTCCCAGGTTTAAGCCAGGGGCTCCAAAAATGGAAGTGTTTCACCTGGGGTAATTTTAGGACCAAAATAAAGTTCTTTTACAAACCCTAAACTTAACATTGATTGACTTTCTGGATTTTCTATATCGAAAGACTTGGAAGGAAGCAATCCTTACATTTTCTTATTGTATTTACAGCTTAGGTTTAAATTTTCTTGCATAAAGTTTAAAATTTTTCAGAGAATGCTTTAAATGAATATAAAACTTTTTTTCTTCAAAAGTAAGTACTTTAAGAGACTTATCTACAAACATTAATTGAACTTTGCTTTTGGTAAATTTTCTATCAAAGACATACACGACCTTACATACAATATTAAGTACAGTATAAACTGTACTTAATATTGTATGTAAGTATATACTTAATTCCAGCATTTTAATACACTTTGCACAGGAAATATAGCATGTTCTTAATAATAGATTTAAAAAATACATGGATGCAAACTTAAGTTAACAAACCACTTAAGAACCTTATCGGTGTTCCTTATTCTATAACATCCGATATCAACATGTTTAACTATCAGACAAACTAACAAGGGCACATTCTTTTAATAATAGCTTTACTTATACTAAGTTTTTACAAAAATTACAGTCAGACAACAAACAAAACTTGGGATTCAGACACAATTCTAGTTTGTGAACAACAATAATGACATACACAAAATAATAGACTTTCTCATTAAAGATAATCTACTTATTAAATAAAATCTTCCTAGTTTGAAAAAAAACTCAGTTTATGTGGAGTTAAGCTTGCTTTAATTATTTCTCACTAGCTATACAAATATTTTTACTAACTCATTTAGTATGGGTGTATACCACATCTAAATTCACTAACTGATTTGTTTGCAATCCCTGTTGTTAATTGTCACTTCTGTGGCTGTATTGTTCAGCATCGAAAGAACCAAGTTATGTTTCACAGTTGAGAACATTATATGTTCATCAACTGTTGACATAAAAAACACATTAAACTATGAGACACATTCATGGGAAAATTTATTAAGCTTTTTTTAACAGAAAAACGTGAAATTGGTATACTTACAGTGATGAAGTCCTGGTGGAGAAATCCCAGGTTGTCATGGAAACAAAACATAACGTAAAAAGATTACCATGAGAAAATTACACAACTTGAAAATTTTTCTATTTTTATATATTTTTAAGGCATTTAAAGACATAAAATAAAACATAACTGTGAAGCCTATAATCGATATACGTTAGTGTACGCGCTGTGCCATCAACGCAAAAGAAGGCTAATACTGGACATTTAGTTAAACCTGTAGTATGTGTACCCCTGGGGGTATGCGAGAACCTCTGAAAAACATTAAAAATAAAGTAATCATATGCCTCAAAATTATAGTCTTAGTGTGAGTTAGCGATGTATTCTACCAGCTAACACCCAATGTTCATGTACCGTTGACTCACCCTTTGTTAAAAAAACAGATGTAAAAAATAAACCAAGTATACCAATGGCTCAAAGATCTGATTGAGGTTGGGAACAACTGGGTTAAATTGAATATAAAACCAATCTGTGTTAGGAAGATAATGGAAAAATGTTTTTCTACTCCATCCTCCATTGCAAATGTCTAAATTTACCAAAACAACCGTTTCCTTCTTAGGCCTACAAATCTGAATGTTCCACCAGTATTTGATTAAAAATTCTACTAATGACAATACCGAAATGTTTATGCTGTAAATTTAAATTATTTATAACCCTAAACGACAAAAAATGAGCCAAGCATGCTGATAAAATACTATATTAAAAGTAAACAATATACGTGACAATGAGAAGTGTCTCTCAGTGTTAAACAAACAGCAATAATATCTGTAAACTATATTAAAAGTAAACAATATACATGACAATGAGAAGTGTCTCTCAGTGTTAAACAAACAGCAATAATATCTGTAAACGTCTATTTGGTTTTGAAACCCGGCTCATTATCGTGAGAACAGTTAAACTATACGTTTATATTGATACTACGTCTTCTGGTGAAAAGACCTCAGAATAATTTTTTTTTACCTAAGATTAATTATGGATTGAAGAGAAAGATGTAGTGAATGGCAATCTCAAGGAAAACTGTCTGCTTGTATCACATTTCAACATAAAGATAGCAAGTTTTATGCAAGAACTATGGGAAGATTTAAACGTGCACCTTTATTCTTTAGTGTAAACAAGTATTCGACTAACCTTGAAAGAGGCAAGCTAGTGTAAACAAGTATTTGACTAACCTTGAAAGAGGCAAGCTTGGGTTCTTCTTTCAGCAGCCGTAATAACGAATGATAATCAGCCTGAGATGATTTTAGAGCCCACTGTCGTTGTCTTGGAGAAAACTGGTATATATTATCATCTTTGTAAGATTTATGTAATCTTCTTTTGAATAAAATATATAACATAACAATTCAGTTTAATAATTTTATACAAAGAGATTAAGATTATTATAAGGCATTAATTACCTCTAAAATTATCATTCTTTAGAAAGTTACCTGTTAATACGAAGTCAAATAAGATAGTTTCACAAGAAAGCTGTCTTACTCTGCTCTCCAACTCAATGATTTCTTTAGTGTTTAATATGAACCTCTTATTCAAGCCAATTATCAATATATATGTTTTAAATTCTTGTGAGCTTATTCCACATCTATACTGCAGACACTGTTCCTCATCTATAAAATCTCTGTTCCTCAGTAGAAACAATGTCTTTAGAATACTGGTACTGGTTCATATGTCGAGTGGAGCGTGTACCTTCATTAGTTGTGAATTTCTTTGTTTGAAACTTTATTTTTCACAAGAACATTCTAAAAGTTGGAACTACAGTTTTAACACATTCTTTATAGTTTACAATAATTCCAAGAAGTTCATATTTTGATAATTTACTAGATTTGGGAATAAACGATGCCAATTTGGGATTTAATCTCTTGATACTCCAAAATATTTTATCAATAAGTGGGCAACTTTTTTAATCTTGAATGTGACTATGGTAAAAAAAAAAGAATATTTATTATTAATTTTTTGGTAAAACCAAATTAAGGATACAAACGTAACAACTTCAAAACTCCAGAAAGTCAGTTGAGCCTATTCTGAAAGACAATGTTTCTGAAACTAGACTACCTACACATACAAAGAAAGATCGAACCCCTTTCATTTCAAAATAACTTGGGTCGAGAACCGAGAATTATCCAGAAATAGAGGACATGGGGTGATATAATACCATTTGAAACTGGTACACTGTATGATGAATCACACGTAAGCATTTTGTTTTCCATCTGAAAACTAACAAAATATTCAAGGAAGTCTCTTTCCTTTCAACCAATTATTTCTAAAATTTCCAAACAAATATTTCAATAAATATATTACTACAAATTTATCTTTCCTATACCACTTATCTAAGCAAACATCTTAAATTCTTATAAGCTTGTTGTCTTCAACATAGCTCCTGTTAATAGTTTCATCAATACACACCAGGGGAATAATTGATTAAAACCTTGTGGTAAAATATTCTGAATTTATTTTCTAAAGTACAGAAGAAAAGTATAATATATAAATAATTAATTACACAAATATAAATATATTATATAGATATATATATTATAAATATATTATACAATTCACAGGAAAGTAGCACAAAGAACCAAAATTAACAATATGAACGTCAAACTGCACTGTACAAGGGTGCAGCATCCCTTCCTGACTTGACTTATGGAGGGTGCTGCACCCTTGTGTTTCTATTACGTACAGGAGGTTTGATTTTGGTTAATAATTTTTCAGCACACTCCGAATACAAAAATTATTTCAGCATCAATGGCACTGTAGAGAATTTTTATAATGATAGTATAATCACCATGATAAAAAAACAAATATTTCTAATGAAATGTTATTAATTTGAAAGCAAACTTTTCTTAAACTATTTCTGATTAAATTGTAGGAACGTTTATTGTAGTTTAAATATTACTGACTCATTATTTATCCCTCTATCTTAAAGCACTGTACTTTGTGTTCAATCTTGAGGCACCGTACTTTGTGTGTTCCATCTTGAGGCACCGTACTTTGTGTGTTCCATCTTGAGGCACCGTACTTTGTGTGTTCCCATCTTGAGGCACCGTACTTTGTGTGTTCCCATCTTGAGGCACCGTACTTGGTGTGTTCCCATCTTGAGGCACCGTACTTGGTGTGTTCCCATCTTGAGGCACCGTACTTTGTGTTCCCATCTTGAGGCACCGTACTTGTGTGTTCCCATCTTGAGGCACCGTACTTGTGTACAAAGTACAGTGTCTTAAGATGGAACACACAAGTACGGTGCCTTAAGATGGAACACACAAGTACGGTGCCTTAAGATGGAACACACAAGTACGGTGCCTCAAGATGGAACGTTCTATATTCAGACTTAAATCTGACACTGTAAACTGTTCAAATACATTTATATGCTCTATAAACTTCGATGTGGAAAGATTTTATATTTTTTGTAATTATTTAAATATATCAACTTAAGTAAAACCATTCTATGAGATACAGTGAACCGAATCAGATATCCTTATCTATCGTTTGGGTTTAATTTGTTCAGTCTGGGCAAAAGTTTACCTCGAAGAAGTATTTACAAAATAGAAGTTGTGATACCCAGTATATATCCATTAGAACAACCAAAACTTTTTGTCTGCATATCTCCGTTTGAATTAAATTCATTTATGACAAGATGCATCAAGCTGTTAAAACAAAAAAGTCTGTGAAATAGGTAATCACCCTCCCCATCCATTGACTTTTTATTAATAAACGTTGTTTGTTTGCATATTCCGTGATTATGTTTTGTTTTGCAAAGAATCCTAATCTGTAATTTTTGAAATGGAGATCTTGATTTTTAAAACCCAAAACCAATAGTTCCTCCCAGCACCAAGAGAAGTGATCCGTGAATTTAAGATCTCCTACTAAGAACTGTAGTTATTGGATAAAGAACTTAAAAGGTTAAACAGAAAGTGACTACTCTTGACAAAGTTCTAGAAAATACAAAAAAAGTGGTTTAAATTAGGAAGAGTAGCTTTGATCTAAAATATATGGCTACATGATAATTAAATCTGTCAATTAAATGTGTTTTTCAATCTCTTAAAAAATATATAAAAATATTATGGGTGCTAAAACTGACAGTGATATCAATTATTACACTCTTGTGGGCACAGCAGAGACTCTACTAATACATTAAATCAAACTATCAAACCTAAGAACAGTACAGTATTCTGTTTACTCACCGTATTCACCAAGAAGTAACCGTAATCATCAGAACCCTTTTAAAAATAAAAGATATATCATTAAATGTATAATTCACAGCATAAAATTTAAAAACTTCTTGTCAATTTATTCATATTATTTATATATAAATCATAAATTTTTTAAATGGAAATGGAATTTAAAAACACCGAATGACTATCGAACTATGTTCCTCTCTCCCACGCTACTTCACATCGAACTCTAAAACATGAAAGATCATTGACATCATAGCTATCCTCTCAAGTATTCAGTGTTTGTGTGTAACAGATTATCTAGCAATGTACCAACAAACAGCCCTATTTTGAGGATCACCCTTACAGCAGAAATTTGTTAGTGAGAAGAGGTACTTATCTCTTTGCATTGATTTGTATTCAGATTTATCTAGTTTGGAAAAGAAAGATGACAAAGACAAAATTAGTAGTGGCCTTTAGACACATTAACATTCATTAGACAATCAACTTCTTAGCCAATAGATAAAGCAATGAGTAATTTAGAAATAGGAATTCAAGATCTTGACAAGATAAATAGCAGTTTTAAAAACAAGTCTGTTATATTTAACGATAAGCGCAAAATATTCAAAATTAAGTTCAGTTGTTATTATTCTAATGTTAGGAGTATTAAGAATAAAATGGCTGAGTTCAAGACTCTAGATGACATGGAAAACTGATGTAATGGGAATCAATGAAACTTGGTTAGGTTTAAAAGTCTAGTTTATAAGTTATTTCATAGAGATGAACCTTCTAAAAGTGGAGGTGAGGGTGGCTTTATACATAAGGAATGAACTAAAGCCTGATGAGACGATAGAGTTGTATTTTAGGGTTTAGTATAATTAAATGGATAGGACAACCCTAGATGAATCAAAAGGTCCCTTGTCATCCTTTAATGTTAAGACATGATAATGGTAGTCAAAAGGTTAAACCTATATAGGTTACATTGAGGGGTAGAACGTTTTTAATTGGCAGTTGTTACAGTCTTCTGATCGAACAGATGGTGTTAATGAGCAATAAATTATGGGAAACTTTAATTATCTCCAGATTGGTTAGAATTATATAGAGTCAAAGAGTTTTGTTTTTTGCTACATGTGGATATTGACTTACTGGAAAGAGCTCGGAGGAGGGCTACTAGGATGAGTCTGGGGATGAAAGGGATATCGTACAGGGATATGTTAATCTTTTTGTTTTCTCTAGAGAAAGAGAGAGAGAGAAAAACGAGAGTAAGAAATGATCTTATTGAAGTTTACAAGATTACTTTGGGGATGGACAAGAAAATGGCTTTTGACTTCTTTGTGCTATATGATGATAATGAGATGAAAGGACATGGATGTAAGACTTGGAAAAGACAGGCTGGGCTTAATTTTTCTAACAGTCATTGGCTTACGGAATAAGTTGTCATCGGAAGTAGTGGAAGACATCACTTTTTACTGGAGTTTCAAAGAGGAATCAATGATTACCTAAAGAATAAAATGTGGCTGGTTTAAATTTACAAGGACAGCCAAGTGGTCCCTTAAATTGTTGTCCATAAGCTAAGATGTATGTTAGGATTCAACAGAAAATATCGTTTTAGCTACTTCTAAACAAATACTCCTACACTGCTTTTTCTTCTGTTTTCTGCTGAACTTGACCCTGGAAAGGTCCCGCGGATGAGGTCAGATTCCACAGTAAGTTTATTTAATTTTTCGGCATGTTCCTTCACACTTCCTGGTCTCACGCTCAGTTCTTTGAAATCTCTCTGTTTGGGATTTTCCTCAATAGAAAAATAAATTTTTTTTTATCAGTCAGGTTGTCTTTTAAATTTTGTTTTTCACATAAGAAAATAAAGTTTTTTTTTGCTCAAACTTGAAGATAAGTTGGTCATTGATTAAGTATTCTTAAAAAGTAGGTGTTTTCTTACAACTGGACAAACTCGGCATGTGTTACATATTAACTCACTCGAGCAACAAAACACACATCTTAGAAATAGTAGCAATGCTTTTCAGTAGTTACTATAGGTTGATGACAAAAAATGTTGACATACAAGACAACCAATTTATTTTAGTGGAAGTTTTTTTAACGACCACCTCGTTATTAAATATAAGTGACCCACTTTAGTTGATTTTATGACTCACCTTGTTATTAAATACAAGTGACCCACTTTAGTTGATTTTATGGCTCACCTTGTTATTAAATACAAGTGACCCACTTTAGTTGATTTTATGGCTCACCTTGTTATTAAATATAAGTGACCCACTTTAGTTGATTTTATGGCTCACCTCGTTATTAAATATAAGTGACCCACTTTAGTTGATTTTATGGCTCACC